GCGAAAATGTTCATTTTTGCACTCCATATTAATATTGAAATAAAGAAAGAACATTAAGATAATATCTGCGCAATGATTTTATAACGCTAAGTAAGGATTACAGATAACATATATAATAATAAGAAAATCATAACATTAATGAGTATTATAAAAATAGAAGTGAGAAATCTATAATAAAAATCGGCAATTAGTTTCTTGCCAACACTAGTATATGGGATACTTAAATTTCGTTTGTTTCGCCTCTCCCTCATATCACTTTTTGTGTGGGTTCTTCGTTGGTTGTCTAAGATGTGTAGTCGCAGATGTCCAGTGAAAGAATACAACGAGATTCTTTGCTAACGGACCTAGGTGGATATGTTATCGCTTCGATATTCTCTAAATGATTGAGACGCGTATTTTGAATAAACGCTATAAATCTACGATCTTTACGGATCGTAGTTTGTAGTTCGGTACATGTAGTGGTCGTTACATGAAAAACAAGTTGATGGAGTTTCAACTGATTTTTTAGATTCCACAGTTGGATGTGGACCAGCACATTTGACACATTAATAACTACCATGACAGTATTTCTGTTTGTGACCGTACTTTTGGCATCTTTTGTGTTAAACTACTTCTTTCTTTAAAGGCGGTTTAATTTTAACGATAGTGTATTTACGTAGATTTCTCCAACATGGAGTCCTTTAGTTATTGTTTTTAGCTAATGATGAGGAAGGTAAAGGGTTTAATCAAAATGAAATTTAAACACGTAGTTACTTATACGTGGAGCCTATAGAAAGTGTAATACTTTATTGGTTCGTCATGGAAAAACCTTGCGGAATAAAAACCCTGTTCGTTATTCGCTTACAAATTAATGGCGTCCAACCACGGATTCTACGCGTGGTTTATCTATTACTCATTCCGGGAATATAAGTATAATAAAAGGTATCTTACCGATAGTTCCTTTATAGAAGCGTAGGATGTTTTCGTACGTTTCATTTCCTTTTCTTTCTCCTTAGCTTTCTAACCACACAGGCACGGGCCTGTATTCGATGATGAAAGTATCCGGGATACTTATTCTTACAGTATTTCTCCTCTCACTCTTATCAATGATGTAAGTATATGATATACTTATCCTGGAAGTAATTCTCTCGCTGTGTTATAAAAAGGGTACAGGGCAGGGAACAAAAATAATCTTAGTGTAACAGTACACTTTTTATTTCCAACGGCCTTTTCGAATCATACTCTCTGAACTTCCTTTGTCTCTCTGTTTATCTATAATGACCTAACGTCTCTTTACTTCCTTTAGAAAAATCAACGAATTTTCCTTCTCCTTACCTGCAGATGCCGTCGCTCGCATCCTTTCAACGTCGCATAAAGTCGTGATAAGACTCTCGTATGTTAAAAAATCGTACTTAAAAACGCAGAGGCAATATCAAAGCATATTCCTGGAAGTCATAAGATTAGCCAAAGAAACAGTTTAATTAGGATGATATGACCGATGACAGATGCACAAGCTTGGAAATTCACATATCAATTCTAATCTGCATATCAAAGAATTCCCTACTATTTCGAAAAAAACTTAAAGACCGATTAGAAAGTAGATAGTACTGTGGTAGAGGTATTTGCTCATTAATCCATTGGTAATTGTTCAGCAAAAGATGTTTCCTTCCTTCACTCTTCCGCCGTTCAACATAACTCCCTCTTTAACATTCTTTTCCACTCTTTGTATTTTTCCCCCCCTGATCCTAAATTTCCCTCTCTTAGAAACAARGAATCYATCTCTCATTAGCAGAGAACATAAAAAAATGCGAATAAATGAAGGAAACCGGTTTGGTTAAATTAYATAAATGTAGATCAYAATCTATTCCAAGTTCAATTTGCTACGCGTTGAGCTCAACAAACAACTATTTTTCGAATAATTTTCTTCTAAGTTACTTCATCTCAATTGTTTCATTTTTCTTTCTCCCTTACTTAAAGTTATCGAGTAATTAAACAAAATTACAGGACGCATCAACGTATACTTCATTGTGCACCTTCGTCACAACATTATTGCAATTTTTATTGCTATTGTGCAATAAAACGAGTGCTCGTAAGTATCAATTTTAGTTATTTTGTCGTACGTTTTTCTCATTTTCGCAATAGGTTTATTTTAATACGGAATGAGTAAAAGATATCCCCTTCAATTTTGAATACCTTCGTTTATCTATTTTTTTCTTTAATTCGTCTTTGTGTTATCCTATTAATAATCATTGTTAGTTCGTGCGTGTGTTTTTTTTTATATAAAACTTCTTCGGCAACGCAGATTGGTCTCCAATCTCGAAAACGTGAAAAAAGTCGAAAAATCATGTTTTTTGTTGAGACTTTTAACGATGGAAATATCTATGGTGAACCACTTTACGTCATTATCATCGGTATTTTATAAATAAATGACTATGCACACCAGTAAATTAATGGTAAATAAATTAATTTGCGATTCGTTGCGCCACGAAAATTACGGTCTATTTAAACGCGCATAATATAGTTAATATTTGTCCGATTTCAACGTATAAATAAAGACTCAATTAAATTAAATATTTCGAAATTTACATAAATAACATTTGTAGTCACTAACGGGTTCAATATGAGAAAAATATTTTCAAACGAGCTTATAGGTACATATACGGCCGTATTTCGCACTCTCCTTGATATTTAAATGTTCATTGAACCTCTACCTAATCAATGATCAAAAAATCAGGTGCTTTTAGCTGCATTTTCGGTTTATATGTAGAATGTTTTACGATAATGCACAATCGTAATGTCCTTATACATTTCTCACTATTTTGTATAATTACAAATAAATATGATTACAAACGAATTTTACATAAATAGATAATTTCACAGAAAGAATCATATATGAAAATAAAAAATGAAAAAAAAAATTAAAGAAACATCATAATTATAAATTTATCTTTAAATTTTAGTCCGCATTTCTGCTTTTTAACAAAATAATATTAGATTCGCAATAAGAAACCTCGAAAAGCTTTATATATTTGAGTTAAAATTCTCAATGGAAATACACTACTACTATCTTGTATTTCCAATAAGCATTTTCATGATTTGAGTAAAGTAACCTTTGCCTCTGGCTTTACAATATTTTATTTATTGAAATTTTAATTCCTATTTCAAATATTTATTTTATTTCGCAATAGTGAGAAACCTATTATTTGAAATAGTATGCCAAATAAAAATTATTCAAATATTATCGAACCTTGGTTGGACGTAACACCTCATAGTTATAAACAGGTTTTTGTGAGTAGTCAAGTAAAAAAAAAAGGAAAAGAAACGGAATAATATACGTTCTTGTTTCTTGCAGATTAAATATCTTCCTATATGCAAACTAAATAAAAAACAAAAACAAAAAATCTTACCATCAAGAAAATACAAGTACTCTCTATATATCACGTGTATGACTCACATTCAATTTTTTATCGACATGTATTTTAAAATATGTATTTACCCGGCAAATATGTAAATACCTTTTATTGATTTTCCTCGTTATGTAAATTTATAATGTTTATTTAAATATTTAGCTTGCCAGGATGAAAAAATTATATATGATACAATGATAAATAAATTATAGGTTAAAAAGGATAGAGAATTGTACGCATTTATTTAACGACTAAGCGTCAATAAATGTAATTAATTTTTATTTACTTTAAAATGATGTATTATAAAATAGTTAATAAGCAGGTTATGTGAATAAACACAATTACAATTTCTGCAACGTTTCGTACATACATTTGAATTTCTTCAGGCAACTGGAAAAATACAGTAACAGGTTATATAAAAATTTCATTAGCATTACAATTATTAATAACTTATAAAAACGTTTGAAACTCAAAGATTATTCAACAACTACTAAAGTGACAATTTAATTGCTATTAATTTTTTCCTTTCGTTACTCTTCGTTTTATATTTTGTGTCATATTTTTCTATATTTATATGTAAGGAAAAGACCGTAGGCCGTTTTAAAAGCTAAAAATTGTTTTAAAAAATTTGAGACAGGAATTATTTCAAAAAATATAAAAATTACAATGACTGTAGGAGGCAACTTACATGACCGGTGTAGGAGACACTGATCACTGATTTTACAATATACTATTTTAATATGACAAAATATAATACACTTATATTTTTTGTTGAACTCTTAGTCAGACAAATGTAATAGAAGAGAAGATGATATATTAGAAAATATAATGAAATTGAAAAGTAATGTGATATAATGGTTAACAATTCGTATTAAAAAAAAGAGACCGAAAGTAGTCTAAGTTAAATGTATATTATGTATAACAAGGTAGAGTAAAAACTAACCGAGTCAGATACATTCTAGATTGATGGACAATCAAACAATAAAGACAATTTAACGCGATAAACCAATAATATCGAATAAAATCGTATAAAAATTAATCGGATGAAGTAAGATTGTATACAATTTGACTAGACTGAGCTACCAGACGGTTGGCGGAAGAGTGAAAATCATTTCCTTTTTTAAGAAGAGGTTCACATTTAGCAAATATGTTCGACGTTGCCAGCGCAATTTTTTCCATATTTGACGAATCGTTCCTCTTATTCCCTAATATTATTTGGATAGCCTCTATTAGTTGTCGGTTGTCGAAATTGTCATTATCTAGAAGCTATGAACAAGGCACTACTTAAGCATAGTAGACATAATTTTGTAAATGTTATATATAATTTCGGATATTTGAGTCGAGTGACGTCAAAGAACGTCTCCTGACAGATTTTCCAATCACAAAGTATAAAGTTATTAGAAATGAAAATAAAATAGTTCACAACTGATATTTTAATAGTCTAGCATATTCTGATCAACTCACTATTTAAACTTCATTGTGGTATAACAATTTAATTGACAATGAGCTGTGACTGAACCTGTTAGAAGGCACCCCTTGACGTGCTTGTAATATATAGTAAAATTATTAAAAACATTTGACTGACTTATGATAGTTTTGTCTTGGATATTTATGTTCCCTTAGTTCCTAGTAATTACAGATTCCGAAAATCGAGGCATATGAGAGGCTATTCCAAAAGAACTAGGGAACGATAGTGAACTATGCAACGCGTAGCTGTCTGGTTCCCTGAAAGGGATCCGCTTGCTTCTTCTATGAACAAAAAGCACTACGCTAATAGTCTTTTGTAATCTCGGGTTGTTCCTGACAGATAGTAATAATCTCTCATTTATATTAAAGACCTCGCCTATTGCTGTATTTGAATTCGACTTATTAATGAAAAATAGTCTTAATCTTTTAAATATATTTAGACCCTTCCGTAGACCGTATGAGCGTCAGGTTTTGTGAGTTTTATTGTAATATTTTACTAGACTAAAATCTAAATAGTTATACTGAACTTTATTTGATTTAAAAGTTTATTTCATCTAGTTTTAATTTTTCCTGTTAGTCATTACGTATAAAATGAAGACTATATTGAGTAAAATTCAACAACTAAATTATACTTATTAAAGTTACGGTCTTCTTTAAAATGGTCTAAAGCTAAGGCTTCTTCATTCTCATACAAAATTTTTTCATTTTTAAAATCGTTTGTATACTGATATATCATAGATTCTTGACACTTTTTCGTTTCTGAACTGTATTGTATTTTATATACCACTTCTGTTTGTTGTTTCACACGTACCGGATTTTTTGTAGATTGCACTAATTTATTAATATTATAAAACGCTAATATTAAGTTGATACCTCTGAAACAATTACTGATTTTATATAACAGCTATGTTATCAAAGAAAAACAACTATATCTTATCATATATATTGGACAAATTCAATAGTTTATAACTAAATTTAGCTAGTATTTTTTCAAATATTATCTAATTATAAAATATAAAATATTAGCGAATTGCTAATAAATGCGTCAGAAATTATATTTTATATAAATCATTGTAAATACAAATCCTATAAATATTGTTAAACATATTATTTTTCCAGTTTACTATTATAGATCGTTCGTATTTATGTGTGTGCTTACAATTAATAGAAAGGAAACGAATAATAAAACTATTTTATTCATAAATGGATTAATCATTAACAAGCACGTAAGTCTTTAGAAAAATATAAAGCTTGAAAGTAATGCTTTATACGTAAAAAAACTTTTGAAACATTCATAGTCTATTTTTTAATTTTTTCGATTTTCCATATAGAATGATGCTCGCAATTTTGTTAGGTTCAATTTTTACTCTATTTGTAATACACTGTTATTTGAGATATAGAAGAGTTGGAAGACTGTTAAGTTTAATTCCAGGACCGACCGAGTACCCGTTAATAGGAAATGTTCATCATTTACATGTAGATGATGGTAAGTTCTATTAAAATAATTATTTTGGGGAAGTATTTTTTAAGATGTGATTCGTTTTAATGAATAAAGTTCTCACTAAAAACTAATTTATTTAAATAATTTAGACCGTGTACTTCAGAAATTATGGAAACTTAATAACGAATATTATCCAATTTACAAACTATGGATCCTACATATTAATGCAGTGATTTTACTCGATCCGGATGATATTCAGGTAAAAAATTATAAAATAAGTACAAAGTACATTTCTCTTTGTTTTGTTTTAATCTTTTGAAGTATTAAAAAGCTGAAAGTGTTCCATTTCTTTCGTTACGAAAAATGCATATTCGAATTGTTTTTAAACCAGCACAAACAATTGAAGTTACTTTAAAGAGAGCATGACAAGACTATCTTTGTATCTCTTTGAAGCTGCATATTAAAAGGACGTTTTTTATCATTGTGCAATTCATTATATGTAATACAAATTCGCAGATAATAATAATAAAAAAGATTCGATAAATATTTAGGAATAAAATTTTGTACTCCAAAAGCTTAAAACTAAATCGACGAATTCAATTTATATAAATGAAAAAATATC